ATTACATACGGTGGGAATAGCTCACAAGAAAACATATTGACATCAACATATTAACACATTTTTATCTGTTATTTTGACGGGGTTTTATTTCGTGGTGTTTTATTTCGGTAATAAAACCCCGTCAAAATAAGGACAGATAAAAATGTATTAATGTGTTGAAGTAATATGTTTTCTTGTGAGCTCTGGATGCGGTCTAACCATTCTTTAATTAGTTTGATCTATTTCACGATCATTCAGCGAACAGCATTTTGTCATTTGTCTATGACTGAAGAATATGAAGAAGTTTACTTTTTGACATATTTGTCTTGTTTAAGCGAACCGGAATCTCTTTGCTCTATTTCTCTCTAACTAGTCAGTATAATTATCAAATGTATTTCGAAGAATGCATAAAAAACTCAATTTTTAAATCAAGCAGAGTTAAACTGAAACGTCAGTTTGTAAAACAAACTTACTGTGCTTACAGTTAAGAGAAAAGTAAAAGATATTAGATGACTGATTGAACTTTTTATAGTGACTAAAACCAAATCATCTGTCTGCGTCTCTGTTGGAAATAACCTATAGATTCATGGAATTTTACTTTTATGCTGAAGAGAAAAGATTTTTTTTTCTTTTTTTCTTCTTATGCTCCATCAAAAAGCTCTTACGTCAACATATTAACACATTTTTATCTGTCCTTATTTTGACGGGTTTTTATTTCGTGGTGTTTTATTTCGGTAATAAAACCCCGTGAAAATAAGGACACCTTTTACCTGCGTAAGAGCTTCTTGCTGGAGCATAAGAAGAAAAAAGAAAAAAAATCTTTTTTCTTCAGCATTAAAGTAAAATTCCATGAATCTATAGGTCATTTCCAACAGAGACGCAGACAGATGATTTGGTTTTAGTCACTATAAAAAGTTCAATCAGTCATCTAATATCTTTTATTTTTCTCTTAATTTTAAGCACAGTAAGTTTGTTTTAGAACTGACGTTTCAGTTTAGATAGATCGTAAGTGTTTTCTCTTTGTCGCTAGAAATTAGTTTTCGATTCATTTCATTCTTATTTAGACAGTGGCTATCGTTGTTTACAATATTCGAAATCTTACAAAAATTTCTAGATTTAACATATTTCAAAGATATCAGTGAGCAACGACAAGACGACAAAATAAGAAAACAAATAGCAAATTTGTTAAAAGAGTTTTCATCAGACGATAGACAGAAAATGATTGATGAATACTGTGGTAAACGAGTAGATGAAATAAAAATTATTTCAGGTAACGTTTCAACGACATCAAGAAAATTTTAGTGATAAATTAGAAAATATCTTCTAATTAGAAAAAGCTTCAGATCCTATTCGTGATCACTAAGTCATTGCCAACATGCACATGTATAAGTCAATAATGTAATGTACACACGAATGTTTATCAGAATCCTAGTGAGCCGCCATTCAAGCATCTGATCGTAGAGAAATGAAATAGAACTGCTTGTTCATGATGGTACAAACGAATTAAACGAATTGATAGATACAATAATACAAAATGGACAGGCGTCAACAAAAGCCACTGCTACGCACGAATTTGAAGAGTTATGGGTAATGAAGAGTGTCACGATTAAAAGTAGATTTATAGCTAACTTACAGAACAATTAAAGCAGTCAATTAAATTTATCTACGGTTATTGTAATATTTACGAAGGAAAACTACTACCATCATGTGAAAATATTATTAAAAATATAGACGTTATAAAGACACTTATCGAATCAAGAGAAGTGAGTGACCTGATCGAGCAGTCGAGAAGTATTTTATGCAATGAAATAGCCGCTCTAAGTTAACGTGTAAAAGTGGAGTCAAAGTCATCTGATTTTACATTATCAACAGTTGAAAATTTTTATTATCTAAACAAAGAAATATTGTTTGAAATATTCGAAGAAAGACAGCACCAGTCTGTGCCGTCGTATTCAACGAGTGCTCGTAGTCCAGAACTCCGGCAAAAGTCAGTATAATTCGCACAACATACATATAAAGCTCTAAAGTCTATGCTACCTTTTACGCCCAAATCGACTTCAAAATCACGTGATATCAGTGTTAGAAAAGACACGAGTCGTATAATAATGACTCAAATGAACGATGATGACAAGCCGCTTGGTCCATCAAAAATTGTGCAATTAGAAGGATTTTTTGATGAACTTTTCAAAAAGTTATTCAACTTGATTGCAAATAACGGTGTTGTTCGCCCGGTTGAAACTGAATTAATACAAATGATTATTGGTCTAATCACTGAAATGATACACGACCTTAATCTTGAATTAGCCGTCTTTCATTTATCATTACCAAAACGTTTATCATCATCAATTCACGTCCATGTGCTCCTCTTACTTACCGTATTTCACTATCAGGAACAAGAAAGTCATTTTTTCTGGTTGATACATTGGACAAAGAAAAGCCGCGTCTTCTGAACTATTTTATCAACATGGTAGTACTGCATGCTGCATGCGATATAGATGGCGGAAAAATATTTGTTAATCAGTTTTTTAATTCTATTGAGCGTAGTTTATCAAACTTATCACATAAAATTATTAAAAATAATCTTCAGACACAACAAAATTGGAATAGACAAGAATTAAAAACAGATCTGTCATGGAAAACTACAGACTGCTGATGAACGATGGATACTAAAATATATTCAACAGCCTACAGATACGGTTGTTGAAGAATTTCACTTGCATTGGAATAATATCGAAAGGGTTATTGATCAGCAGATACAAACAGAGAAAAATCAACAGCGAGGACTAATCGTTATAAACTTTTCCATATTATCAGGTCCTTGTCTTCGGTTTTAATTAACCACGAAAATGCAGCAAAGTTTGTTGATGAGCTTTTCTTATCATCAGCTGGTGTCGCAGATGAAAATTTAAAATAAAGGACAATATATAGTCTCCGCGTTATTTGCATATTTAAAAAATATTCCACTATGGATGTCGTTTACCATATTCAATAATTCTTATACATTAAGTCTGAAAGGTGTCGCCTATTTTCAGAAATTACCAAAACCTAATCAAGAATTATCTAATCTTATCGATTTAATGACCAAAACAGACAACACCAATACTGTTCGAAATGAAGTACCAATTACATCAATTAAAAACGTTCATGTATTCTTGGAAAGTATCGTAGCAACTGAAAATAAATTTATGGAAAAATATGATACTATACCAACTATATCTGCACATTATGATAAAGATCAGTCTTATATAAAGCTGCTGGATAAAGCACGTGGCTGTACTACAAAATGTAAACTTCTTCCTTAGTTGCAGATAAATAATCTAGTGTGAAATAACGCGGGAAAAAATTTCTTGTAACCTCTTTACACTTTTTTTTATTTTGATAGGTCCATGTTGTGTACGTGTGATGTTGATGATAGCCTGGTAAAATCAAACCCTGGTATGTTTAAGTGCTGTATCCTTTCTTTCCTAAGTTAAAACCTCAGAATACTTTATATTAGGTGGGTTTCACTAGAAATAACCGTAGGCTAATTCGAAAACAGTCTCGTCTGTAACAGTCAGTAAAAAGAAGACAAGGGCCGAATGACTGCAGAAGAGTAAACCGTTTTTAAAGAATCTTACAAAATTTTAATAAAAAAACGGTTGACGATCCTGCAACAATTCCAAGGGCCAAACTGCACAGCGAAAAATCAGTTCAACTACCTATCATCATTCATCCTATAAGATCGCTAGAGCTAAAGCAACATAGTTCGCTTGAAAACTACCTTCTCAGTTTTGCAGCTGATAGATTTTACTTTTATTTCAGGTGATGATGGTAATAAAGATAGTTACAGCACAGGTCATCAACTACGTGCGTTCTCCAGTATAAAATTTGAAATTACAAATGAAGCTAGTCTAAAACAATGTCATGAAATTGATAATAATGGTTATATTGTTGTCCGGGGTCACAGTGGGCATTTTTTGCCAGAGCAGGCGGACTTTAGCTTTATAAGTGAACTAAAATTTCATGAACCATTTTTTATAGGTTTCACGATCCTCTTTCTAATGGCATGAGAGTTGGATTTTGAAAAAGTTTTCTAAAGAGTTTTCCAGAGATCCGGCGCCTGGAAAACCCTTCAGAAAACTTTCTCAATATTTAAAAACGATGCCACTGGAAAGAGCATTGTCGAAAACCTATAAGAAACATGTTTCGAGTCGTTCAGGTTACTTTATCTTGAAATTCAAATTTTC